ACTTAACCACTCGGCCACGGAGCCAGCCCCTCTCTTCTCTTATCTATAAATTAAAAAGTAAATTCTAGTGACTGTAGCACTTTCTAAATCACGTCAGTAGTAAAAAGGACATGTTTGTATTTTGTCTGTTGGGTGTCTTTATGGCAAGAGCATGCTACTGACATTGGAGACCAGTTTAACATTGGAGACAGGGAAGTTTCACACAAGGGATTGATTTTGTTTCTCTTTCACTCCCTTGGTAACTGAAATCATTTCCTTATCTTAAATTCTGTGCATACATTTCTAGACTATTTAATAGGTATTAATTCAGGCAGCCTTATAGAAAGTTTCCTGTAACATAATTTCATATCTGGATAATAAAAAGGACAATCCCACATCAATTGCCTATTTCCCACTGGCCTCCTATGATCTTCTTAGCCACTAGCTTTTAGGAGCAGTTAGTTCCCTCCAAAACTTCAGCTCCTTTATAACTATGAGACTCTTGCTTAAATATGGTGTAACAAACATATATTTATGTAAGCTCCCTCCTGAAACCCCACTAAATTGGCAGGAAAGCAATGAGAGAGAGAGTGAACAGAAAAACAAACAAGATAAAAGAGAATCCAAGCATCCTTCCAGGAAATCTAACTTTTGAATAATAAAGAAAGCAGAGAAAGTCAAGAGGAGAAAATTACCAAACAAATGATTCAAGAAGATTTCCCAGAACCGAAGGACAGGAGTTTCCAGACTAAAAGGTCACACCAGGATGAAAGAAGGTGTCCAGCGCAATAGGAAGAAAAAAATGTAGATAAATGTGTATCACTGAGAAACTTCAGAACATTGGCTATAGAAACAAAGATTCTAAAAGCTTCCAGGGGATGGGATGAGGGGTGGTAGGAATAAAAGAAAAGAAAAGTAGGTCACAGCAAGAAGCATGAATCAGAACACCAGCTGTCTCAGCACCAAAGCTGGCACCTGGAACATAGTAGGACGATACCTTCAAATTTTAAGAGTAAAGTGTTTCAAATCCAGGATTCTACACCATTCTAGTCTTACCATAAGATAAGTGTGATGGTAGAATTGAGACATTTTCATTTTTAGATATGCAAAGGTCTCAAAGTTGACCTCTCACACAGTCTCACAGGAAGCTAGTAGAAGATGTCCCTTCTCCACCAGAACAGGAAAGTCATCCAAGAAGGAGAAAGTCCCGGATCCAAGAATGAGGGATGCAGGACAGGAGGAAGATAAAGGAAATTTCCAGAATCATGTGACAGGAATTCCCAGGAAGGCAGCTGAGGAGGCAGTAGATAGGACAAATAGTCTAGATTGGAGCAGGAGGATGGAAGATGTGTCCTCAAGAAAATGGGGAAGCTGGGGGATTATCTGAAGTGTTAGAGTACATTAAGAAGTCAACACTTTGCAAAGCAACATGGGATGAATTAGATATGGGCACAGGGAAAACTAAGCAAATGAAAAAAAATATGTGGAATTATAACTACCTAGAAAACAAAGTTGTAAAAGAAAACAATTATAATCACGATATTGATGGGATTCAGGACATGCTACCCCAAAATATGTCACCTTGGCATACTGAATATCTTAAGCTGAAGGAGTTTGAGAAAACAGCAGAAGCAGGAAGGCCTCTCTGACCTTCCCCACACTCCTGCCCTGAGTTAGATCATGTGACCCTCATGTGAGGTGCCCTCCCTCCACCCGCAGGACAGGAGCATCCTCATCTCCAAGACTGAGGGGCACGGAAAAGCATCGGAATAAACGAGCCTTGCCAAGTTTCCCCGGTTGACTCCCCTTTGTCCTATCATATTTCTCCATGACTGTCCACTCTTCATCAAACGGAGCGTAAAAACACTCAGGTTTCACCATTTCTTTGGGTCTTCATTTCCTTATAAAGGCTCTTGTGTCACGTAAAACTTATATTAAATAAATATGTATGTTTTTCTCCTGTTAATCTATCTTTGTCAGTTTAATTTTTAGACCCAATCAGGGACCCTAAAAGGGTGGAGGAAAACTTTTTCTTCCCTTGCAAAATTCCACCTGGGTCAACTATGAATAATATTTAAATGGTCATAATAATGAAAACTGAATATTGATTTAGCCAAAAATGAAGCTGGAGCTACACTGGAAGAGGCAAAGGTAACTTTCTGTCTGAGGGGCAGGAGGGCAGCACTTAGAATAGGCACTCCATCGCTCGTACCTGTATTGAACCAGATGGCATTAAACGGATGTTATTTAGAAGTATGGCAGTAAACACCAAGAAAAAGATCTAAAAGAATTGCCAGTGGTTTTCTCTGAGGAGCCATAATCAGGGGAAGCAAGCAGAAGAAGACTGCCATTTTTCAATTATAAGCCTTCTGAAATACTTGCCTTTTGAAGCTATGCTTCTGTATAGCTTTGAAAATAAAAATTTAGCTTAAAAAGCAGAAGAAATATGATTGCGTTATCTTCACAAATTCAAATTTACTTTATAAATAATGACAAATTTATGTCTCTTAGATGGCTGGCCTAGGAAAATGAGCATAGGACGGTTTAGACATGCATCTTCCTGCTGACACATGCTAAGGGCATAATAATCCAGAGTTACCAGTCCTATAGGGATACATTGTGAGACGTGACGTGCCCGTCTTGAACACCGTCACTGCATGACCATTCTGCCAAAATTAAATGGTGCTGCTAGCTACAGCCCAGCTTGCACCCAGTGGTCTACCTCTTGGGCCCTACCTGGACCAATTTAGGTGTGAGCAGGGGATGAAAACAGTGTTTGCATCACTCACTGTCCTCATGGCATGTTTGTCACAATTGTTCCAATTTCATCCCACATTTCTAGCGATGAACTCACATAGTGCTGGCATTTAGTTAACTCTGCTGTAAATGCCAAAACAAAACAAAACTTTGGCGTTATATGAGCCATGGATATTTTGATGAGGCCTTTCTGCTGCACCATCCTGGTAGGTTTTAAATGGTTGCAAATTATAGATATCTTGGACACATTATTGATTTCAAAGAGCTTAGAACTCAAAAAGATCTATTGCCAAATTATTAACAACTGGTATTTAGACAGGAAACACAGTCATATAAATTTATCAGCACTGCACAGGAGGGAGATGAATAGCTTCTCCAGGTCTTTTTTTATCTGTGTATTTTCACGTGGCTGGTGATAACTCACCCAAAGCAGACAGGAAACCTTGGATGAAACAACAAAAAACAAAGGGTAATCTGTTTCCTTTCAGAGGCCAGGGCCACCCATATCATTCAACCTACAGGGGGGAATCACATTCACTGTACATTTTCATTTGGATTCAGCTGTAATTCCTCAACCATGACCTAATGAAACCGAGCCCATTAAAGGCGGGGCTTCCAAGGAGTGGCTATCTATCTCTGGAGGAAAGCAGTCTCTCCTACAGCAGCAGGACCACTGTGGTGTATCCAGCAAGTTCTCCGTCATCTGAACTGATAAATGGAAGCTGTTTTTCTGATCAGAATCAAAGAATAGACTTCCATTTTGTCGTTTTAGGTTGATGGAAAACTGAACCTCTTAAGTTCCAACTGAGGGGCAGAGGAGGGACTTTCTTGAATTTTGTACCACTGCATATATTACTGAAACCAGCAAACAGCTAGCCATGGATGATTAGTTGGCTAGCGACTAAAGATTTTTTGCAATTACAGCTTTTAGTTGTGCCCCCACCCGTTGTTAACTGTGCTGCTTAGGCAAGATGCTATCTGACTCCCACGGATTCCCATAGATGACATTTCCCTGGTGCCTGGGTCACCATGGTAACAGATGTTTGAGCTGTTTTCCAGGAATTAGGACCCTTTGTCCAGTTCAGGCTGGTTGAGAACACCAACCCATCAACTGAGCCTGTGCAGATGCTTGACAAGTGACTTTTTTGATGTCGAAGAACTAAAATTCCACCCTCAGGTCAGGAGGCCACCACCATTCCGTGAACATGCATCCTGTGAAGAGACATGAAGCTTGACTACGCTTGCACAGATCATCAATTACCTCACCTCGCCTCACCTCCAATCATCTATTCCCACACTTCAGACCACCTTGCTCCCTCCCCCATAAATATCGCTGAATGCCTATTTTCAAAGAGGCGGATTTGAGACTCATTCTCCAGCTTCCTCACATGGCTGCCTTGTGATCCAAATCCATTCTCTGTTGCAATCTTGTCGTCTTGGTAATTGGCTTTCTGCATGGCAGGCAAAAAAGAACCTGGGAGGGTAACGTTAACTTTTTTTAAAAGCTAAGTTTTAAAAACGTTATATGGGAGGGTACATCTTATAATCTTCATATCATTGCTTTCGCTCAGACAGTAGTGTTGCCTATTAGCACAGTAATTACAATAGTTTCTGTTCAAGAATATTCTGTAAAACTGAGGCTCTACATTAATATATTCGGTGGCTTTGTTTTCTTATGAATGCGTCACATCTTCTCCCTAACTTCTTTTGGTTTCTGGTGTGTTTGTGTGTGTGTTCACAGCTGAGAGCTGAATTTTTACGCTCCCTAAAAGTCCTTCCAGTTTCATTTCTTTGGGGCATATCAGGTGTGCAAAGTCCATTAATCATCAAGTAAGAGAAAAGAAATGCAGAGAGAGAGTGGTATCTTTATTTTTTTTTTTTTTAATTTTTTTTTTTTTTTGAGGAAGATTAGCCCTGAGCTAACTACTGCCAGTCCTCCTCTTTTTTGCCGAGGAAGCCTGGCCCTGAGCTAACATTGTGCCCATCTTCCGCTACTTTATGTGTGGGATGCCTACCACAGCATGGCGTGTGCCAAGCTGTGCCATGTCCACACCCGGGATCCGAACTGGCGAACCGCTGGGCCGCCAAAGCGGAGCGCGAGAACCGGACTGTCCCTTTGGAGAATTTTTTTAATGTGTATAATCTTGAATAAATCTATCTTCATTATATTTTCCAAGAAAACGAAAATATTTGTCTATAAACTCTTAAATCTGGAGCACGTGGAAAAACACAGCGTGGTCCTATTTTACGTAACGGTGACTTACAATTGGAAGCATTTCTCCCTCTCCCCGGGTTCTGCCTGCGTCCTGGGCTTGAGCGCCTCCCTCCCGTTTGTTCACGAACCCGGAGCCTGCGCCTTGTACTCCGCGGCAGGTTTGCTCCCGGAGCACCTACGTCGCCTGCCTGGGATCTTCTTTTCTGGATGGAGACATCAGGGCTTCCCCCGTCTCCTCCCTGGTTGGCATCTCCGTTCTCTGCGGAGGATTTTGTTTGTTGTGTTTGGCCCGCACCGGGTCTCCAGGGGCCTTTCTTCTTCCCTCCCCTGCTCTCAGTTCTGCCGGCTTTCATCCTCCGTCCGCCCAGGCGCCAGTTGATAGCTGGTTTTCCTCTTCTGAATTCTGTCTGTGGTGATGCAGCTGTCTTTTAAAGATAGGAACTAGAGAACAGAGATATCAAACAGACATAAAGAATAACTTAGAAAAGACAAAAAAAAACTCCTTTCCCTAAAAATAGCTTTGTCTTTAGCTCTTTTATGCTGAACACCTAGGTTTGTTTCTCCTTGTCCCTCTGTTTAAACAAACCAAGTCAGTCAAACTACCTCACCTGAAGAAAAATACAATAGTGAGGACACCCTCGTCTCCAGGCAGGATTTACCAAAGTAATATAATATGAAAGGGGGCTAACTTGAATCTTCTTTTTTAGTACTGTTAACATTATAGTATAATGAAAAAGGAAGTCCTTTTGCATAAAAAGAAAGAATAGGATAAAAAGACGAATCAGAAGAAAATGAACCATGAACGCCAAGGAAAATGGAAAGCAAAGTAAGCAGGAAGCAAATAGGATCCGTGGTTAGATTACACTGATGAAGTTAGCTCGTGCATCAGGACCACAAAACGGAGCCTCCCCAGGGGCCGGCCACGCCACAAATCTAAACCTAAGTCAGCCTGCATTTAGGGAAACAACTCCGTGTCTGGAAAACCTAAGGTACACTATCACAGTCCTCCAACTCCGCTTTAGCTGGCTCACCTGCCCCTGGAAAGGAGGACCTGTCAGCCTTACCGGGAAATCCTGGCCCCCAGCACCTCCCACGCTATTCCCACGTCTCCTCGCCTAACTCTAACCCAAACCCTACACCTAACGAATAAATAACTTAGAAAAACTCTAGAAGACTCACTCTTGCTTAGAATCCCTCTGGAGGAGCAGTGAGGACTGCACTCCGCACCAATCCATGGGTGGTTTTCCCTCGAATAAAGGACGTTGAACTCATTACTAAATTGTTTTAGTTTTGTCATTTGACAATACATACAGTCATGCATCACTTAATGACAGGAATTTGTTCTGAGAAATGTGTCATTGGGTGATTTTGTAGTTGTGCGAACATCACAGAGTGCACTTACACAAACTTAGGTGGCACAGCCTGCCGCGCAGCTGGGCCATAGGGTGCAGCCTGTTGCTCCTGGGCTACAAACCTGTGCAGCATGTTACTGGACTGAACACTGCAGACAGTCGTAACACAGTGCTAAGTGCTTGTGTGTCTAAACATATCTAAACATAGCAAAGGTAGCGTAAAAATACGGTGTAAAAGATTAAAAAAATGGCACACCTGTATAGGACGCTTATCATGAATGGAGCTTGCAGGACTGGAAGTTGCTCTGGGCGAGCCAGTGAGTGAGTGGTGAGTCATGTGAAGCCCTAGGACATCGCTGGACACTCCTGTAGACTTTATCCACCCTGCACGCCAGGCTACACTAAATTTATTAAAAAAAATTTTCTTTCTTCAATAATAAATTAACCTTAGCCTACTGTAACCTTTTTACTTTATTATAAGCTTCATTATAAATGTTTAACTGTTTTTTATAAACTTTTAAATTTTTTTCACTTTTTGACTCTTTTATAATAACACTTAGCTTAAAACATAAATGCATTATACAGCTGTACAAAAATATTCTTTCTTTATATTGTTATTCTATACGCTTTTTTCCATTTTTAAAATTATTTGTTTTTACTTTTTATACTTTTTTGTTAAAAACTAAGACACAAACACACACATCAGCCTGGGCCCGCACAGGGTCAGGACCATCAATATGACTGTCCTCCACCTTCACATCTGGTCCCACTGGAAGGTCTTCATGGGCAGTAACAGCGCGGAGCCGTCATCTCCTACGACGACAATGCCTTCTTCTGGAACACCTCCTGAAGGACCTGCCTGAGGCTCTTCTTGAGGGGCTGTCACTCTTTTCAGAAACACATCCATGTGGTTTGCTTGGTTTGTATTTTTTCCTCTTAGATTTGCTTGTGAGCAGATAATGCACCTTGACCGTCCCTCTCTATTAATGAAAACCTTTTGGTGTTGGGATCCATGCTTTCAAACTTTTTAAAAAGCTTTTTGAGGTCTGCAAAAGCTTCTGCTAAACGCTTTACTGTGAAGTTTCTTGCGAGTTTTTCTTCTTTTTCTTCTCCTGCAGTTTCCTTTTCTCTTGCCTCTTCTTCAACTATGCATTCCTCTTCCAGTTCCACCAACTCCTCATTGGCCAAATCCTCAGGAGCCACTCTAGGAGCTCTCAACATCATCCTCACCCACACGCAAGTTACAGTTGTTTCCATCTCAACCACAGCCTTGTTGATTTCTGCAACCTCCTCATCCTTGGCAAATCCTTGCAAGTCATGGACGAACCTCTTGAGTGTCTTCTTCCAGACGCCATTCATACACTCCCTGGAGACATCACCCTCAGCCCAAGCAAGGTTCTTGACGCCATCATAGATGTTATAATCCCTGCAAAATTGCGTGAGTGTCTTCTCTGTGTCTTCCTCAGTTGCAGCATTAGCCTGGGCAAAGGTCCTCCTCTGGTCCACTGGTTGGATCACAGAGGTGGTGTTGGAGGGAGAAACATCACTCTGATATTGGGATGAAGATGACCAATAAAAGGAGGATGTCTGGGAGCGTTATCAACAATAAGCAAAATCTTGAAAGGCTTGTTATTCTCCAAACAGTGCTTCTCCATTTCACTGGCACAGCAATTCAGGAGGGCATCTTGGAAGAGGAGCTGGGTCATCTATGACTTCTCACTGCTCCTGTAGTGCACTGACAGTGTGAGCTTACCGATGTGCTTGAAGGCCCTGGGGTTCTCACTGTGCCAGATCACAAAGGGTTTCAGTTTGTACCCTTTGACACTGCCCCACAAGCAGGACTGTTATCCTGTCCTTAGGAGCCTTGAAACCTGGCATTGTCTTGGTCTCCTTATGGAGGAAAGTCCTTTCAGGCATCTGTTTTCAGAACAGGGAAGTCTCATCCATACTGAATATTTGCTCTGGCAAGTAATTCTCCTCCACAATCAGCTTATCTAGAGTTTCCAAAAATTCTCCAGCGGCCTTCACATCAGCACTCACAGACTCAACTCTCACTTTCACATCATGTGATGAATAAGGATTCTTGAATCGGTTAAACCACCCAGAGCTAGCAGTAAATTCAACATGGTAGTTGGAGCCAGTCTTTTCTTTCAACATTGCAAACTTTTTGCTTTGGCGTGATTGTCGTGGTGTTGAGATGGATACGCTTCTGTGTCTGGTCTTCAATCCAGGTCATTAGAAGTTTCTCCATGTCTGATATAGGCCCTTCTTGAATTTTTGTTAGTCTTGTTGCCTTCAATGAAGCAGATCCTTTAATAGCTTCCATCACTTTGTTCTTATTTTTCAAGATGATAGTATGGTGCAAAGGGACATGCTTGACTGGCAAACAATACTATCACTGATTTTCCACATTCATAGTCCTTAATCACTTTTAATTTTGTTTCCAGGTCAACGACTCAATGTGGCCTCTTACTAGCAACATTAGCGTGGATTTTGTATGGTTAGGGGCCACAATGAACAAAACAACACAAGATTAAATCAAGCACAAAATGATGCAATCAAGAGACACGGTAAACACAGATGTATGAGGCTGCTGCTGGTGTAATACGGCACACTGTTTTACAGTGAACTTTTCTTCATAAGTAGAAAGCATACACTCTAAAATAACAATAAAAAGGATAGTATAACAAATACATAAACCAGTCACATAATCATTTATTATCAAGCGTTATGTACTGTACATAACTGTATGTGCTATACTTTTATATGACTGGCAGCTCAGTAGGTTTGTTTACACCAGCATCACCACAAACACGTGAGTAACGCATTGTGCTACAACGTTACTATGGCTATGACATCACTAGGTGATAGAAATTTTTCAGCTCTATTATAATCTTATGGGACCACTGTTGTATATGTGGTCTGTCATTGACCAAAAGGTCGTTATGGTCACATACTGTATATAAATTTTATATATGTATATACTTGGACGGGGGGAATAAGTTAGAGTTGAATGACTTCATTCATTGAGTAGGAGAAATCCTGTGACTCAAATGGGTAAGCAAGGTGACACTCAGGAGCAGTGGCCACAGAGGAGGCAGATGTGGAAGAGAAAGCCACTGGGGTGAGGATGGTCCTGTTATCACTTTGTTTCCCTGGATATTCCCCAAGGGAATACATGCATGTGGCTGGACTCACTCCCCTATCTGCAGGACATAAATTATAATGTAATAAAGAGAACAGTCAACATGTACTCTGCATAGGGGTGAAGTGCATGGGCTTCGGTGTCAGATAGCTGGGATTAAGGCACTGCCTGCCTGACTGCCTGCTGTGTACTATTTCATGATCTAGGATCTTGCTACTCAGTGTGGGATCAGCAAGCCAATAGTGTTGGCCTTCACCCGAGAGCTGGTTAAAAATGCAGAATCTCATTCCTCAAAAGATTAAAAATAGAACTACCATATGACCCAGCTATCCCACTACTGGGTATCTATCCAAAGAACTTGAAGTCAGTAATTCCAAAAGTCCTATGCACCCCAATGTTTATTGCAGCATTATTTACAGTAGCCAAGACATGGAAGCAACCTAAGTGCCCATCAACAGAAGAACGGATAAAGAAGATGTGGTATATATATACAATGGAATACTACTCAGCTGTAAAACAGAACAAAATCATTCCATTTGCAACAACATGGATGGACCTTGAGGGAATTATGTTAAGTGAAATAAGCCAGATAGAGAAGAACAATCTCTGTATGACTCCACTCATATGAGGAATTTAAAAATGTAGACAAAGAGAACAGATTAGTGGCTACCAGGGGAAAGGGGGGGTGGGGGGTGGGCACAAAGGGTGAAGGGGTGCACCTACAACACGACTGACAAACAATAATGTACAACTGAAATTTCACAAGATTGTAACCTATCATTAACTCCGTAAAAATTCAAAAAACAAATGCAGAATCTCAGGGCCCACCCAAGACCTACTGAAGCGGAATTTGCTTATTAGCAAGAATCCCAGGTAATTCTTTTGCACATATAAGTTTGAGAAACATTGGTCTAAGGTGGATTACCTAATCTATGCATGTCCCAGCTTCCTTATTTATAAAATGGGCATATTAGTGATACTGAACCTCTTAAGCACAAGTTCGTGTGCCCCATGCACAGCAAGCCAAACGCGGAGACATCGGCGCCTGGAGATGGAGAAAGATTTATTTGAATTGGTCAAAACGAGTAGATAGGAGCCTGGGTTTGTTCAAAGCTGCCTCCCCCAAGAGCAGAAAGCAGGGCGCTTATAGAGCTAAGGGGCTTGGTGGGAGGAGCTTCGGGGAAACAAAGGGGTCGCTCCCCATAAGCCCCTGGGCGTTCTGACTTCTGGGCGTTCTGACTTCTGGGCATTAACGGCTTCTGGAGGCCAGCCACTCGGTCCACTTAGAGGGATAACAAACGTCCATTAACTGTCAATAAAGGTAAGTCAAAAAATAAGGTTCAAGATTCTGAAATTGAATTCTAGGCTCTAGTGCACACACAGTTAAATGTAACTAAAGCTGAGTTTTAATTCTACGTGCTAACTGACTTTTATGACCATTTCACCAAATGAAATAGTCATTTTAAAATGAGTAGTTTCAAAAGGGCTATCGATACAAATGCCTGGCTAAGCAAGTCATTTTACTTTTCTGGAAATCTGTTTCCTTATCTGAGCATGACAGCAGTTAGGCTAATGTCCTTCCTGATTCTAAATTTTGATTTTACAGTATTTACTATGAAAACTAATACTCTTATGCACTGATTAATTTGGAAGGTCACGAATTAGATGGAATGGTGGTATAATTCTTGGCCTTTCTAATTTATGAGTATTTTGACTTAGAGGAAAGAGAAAAGAACAGAAAAGGGAGGATGACCAGTGTAAGACACATTCTGAAGGAGCGACTGAGAGGAGTCTTGTGGACCTCTGATTTCTTCTCTATAAATGTAAGATCTCTAAGGCTGCATGCAGTTAAATATGGTAAGCCAGTGATTCTTTTTTTTTTTTTCTTCCTTTTTCTCCCCAAAGCCCCCCGGTACATAGTTGTATATCTTTAGTTGTGGGTCCTTCTAGTTGTGGCATGTGGGATGCCGCCTCAGCATGGCCCAATGAGCAATGCCATGTCTGCGCCCAGGATCCGAACCGGTGAAACCCAGGCCCGTCAAAGCTGGAGCGTGCGAACTTAACCACTCAACCACGGGGCCGGCCCCAGTAAGCCAGTGATTCTTAATCGTCCAGGTGCATAAAAATCATGGAAGCCTCTTGGTTAAAAATACTCATTCCTAGGACCCCACCTCTTGAGATTCTGATCCAGGGAGTCTGAAAGATGAAGCCCTGGAATTTGTATTGATAACAAACACCCCAGGAAATGATGAGGCAGACAGACCACAACTTGAGAAACACTGTGCTCTGGTGACTTTTCTTATGTCGAACACAGCTGGATTATTGTATATTAGATCACGTAACACAAACGTACTTTTTACTCACGCATAAATAAATCCTTTCAGCACCCCATCCCGTTACATATGCAGAACTATTGCCATTGGGAGCGATGAAAACGATTTCCGCTGTGATTAAGTTCTATGTTGGGCATGATGTCCAGCAGGTAAGCAGATAATTTAGTGCTTATGTTTCTCTTTATCTTTAACTATAAAATAGCACTGACCTAAAAGTCTTCTTATAAGGATCACATGAAATAAGTATTTCAAAAGCTCTAAAGCAACTTTAAATGCAATGTTGATGATAACATTTCTTCGGCTCATGATTATTTTCAAGTTTATAAAGTTCTTGGGGGCAGGGGCTGCATCTTGTAAACTTCTGTAGCAGCAGCCTATTGTTTCTCCCTGCCTGACCTTCCTTCCCCCTTATTCTGGGAAGACAATCCTGACCTTCCTCTGGGAAACCTCTGTTCTTGCATTCTCGGTCCACGTTGTTAGCGGCGAGGAAAAGGCACGCACAGCCATGGGCCGTGACTGGCCTAGCAAATCAGAGCATGGCTTCCTGGCTGACCCTGTGATGGCTTCAGGACTCTGTAAGTGCCCCACGCCCGGCCAATGGGACCCAGCCCCAGATTTTGCTGAAACCATTGGGAAAGACAACCCTCTTTTTGAAGTCGCTGCACCTCCAGCTGAACAAAACCCGGAGTCATGTTTGCCATCCCAAAGAAAGCCTGGCTGAAAATGAAGCCAGCGTCAAAGAAAATAGAACCAAGAGTTTGAAAGACAAAGACTTGTCTGACGACAGGGTTTGGGGCCCTGAATCACTCACACCCAGACTTTTCCAACACGAGAGCCACCCTTCCTCATTCTCTCTCCTACCTAGGCCATTAGCCCGTGGTTGGAGGTTTTCAACAAATGTTGACTAATTTGTTTGCTAATGAAATAAAAATCCTTAGTCACAGGTCACAAGGCAAGGAGGTTGTTCAAATTCATCATTGCAGTGTTTTGGCTATTCATTCAAAAATACATAACACGTACACATATGGAATCATGAAGTTTTTTAATTCAATCAGCAGAGCAACCAAAAACATTAAAATTAGGCACTATCCATAAATTATTCTTCTTCTTTGTACAATTCACCAAATAACTTCCTTACTTGTTACCAAAAACCGTGCAGCTTGAAGGATGAGTCATAGTCCGATTGTCTGACTCTAGCTTAAAATCTCAGAGCTCAGAGCTCTCTACTCTATTGTTCCTTACTATTTGTGAGATCCGGAAACCGTCACTTACCCTCAGCTCCTGCCTCTGTAAGAATCGGCTAGAATAAGGTGTTCATTAACCAGGTAGATTTGAGGTTTTCCTCTTGTTCATATAGATTTTTGAAAATTAAAAGGATGGCTTCAAGTGAAGAATTCTTTATTCTTTTAACATGCTGCCATCATGTGGTTGCTGTGTTCATTCACATTCAAATATTTCAAAGATAACAATGTTTATAGTGACCCCTCATTCAGCAAAGTGCAAAGGAAGAAGCCCCAGAAGAAAATGAAAGGGAATCGAATACCTTCTTCCCAGAAGCTTAGTCCAGAGTATGGGAGAAAATATGTATAATTTGCCAAAGTTGTGAAATATATGTGTAATTTGCCAAAATGCAAAATGGAATGTGGTAGGAACCTGAAAAGACAGAGACTAAGTGCAAAGGAGACCCAGGGAGAGTCAGCCATCTTAGACTCCAGTCTCTTTTTAAAATCTTAAGGCTGTAATTTTTAAAAAGCTATTTAATGAAATTTGACACTATTTGTTTATAGTATTAATCCCTTGCAACATCTCAACAGTCATGTCCATTTTAATTCTGAGATGCTTGAGACCAATAGAGAATTTGCCACATGTCTGAATAACCTAAAAGCAAAGAGAAGCTCTTTGTTCATAGTTGAGTGTAAAAATACCTTGGACTTGTAGAGCTTTGTATAGTTTGCATATTTGTTTTTGAGTCCTTGGAGGTAGATAAGGCAGATGGATTAGAGAAGTTTCCATCAAAATTTTCTGGCTCTAGTACATTTCTTTACTGCATTTTGCTTTATATATAGGTACTCAAAAAATGGAGCTTCATTTGCTTGGATGAATCCATATGAAAATGCTCATGAGTTTTGAAATTTTATATATGATTTCCTATAATCAAAGAAAAATTCAGTAAAATTAGTAGGATTAAATTCTATTGCAATATTAATTGCCAAATTGTTTCCAGAATAAGTTTTAGCACCTAAAGAGAATTAGGGAACTTGTGCTTTTGTACATTACGACAAAAAAGGGGTTTTAGGGTTGAATACAGCACACATATGTACCAAATCCTACTTATTTAATTGCCCAAATCATGTCTGCAAATTATTCCTTAAAAATATCACAACGTAGATTGTGTGCTGAGAGGTCTTCTCGGGCTTGCCCACATTTGGAAATGCCTTTATCTCAGACTCCTGGCCCTCAACTTTCCTCCCAAATTAGAAGCCAATACAGCCAATGGAGTCTTGCACTGTCCTAAACAGAAATTTATCAAGTTTAGCAATGAGATTAATGTTGCTTGTGTCCCCCTCAAAATTCACATGGTGAAGTCCTAATCCGTAATACCTCAGGACGTGACCTTATTTGGAGACACGATCTTGACAGAGGTTTGTTGTTAGTGCCGTTGAGTCATTCCGGCTCCTGGCGACCCTGTGGGCAGCAGAGCGGTGCCTGCCCGGTCTTTCTGCACCACCCTCTCCCCTTCTGGTGCTGTATCAGACGATGCTCCGCTGCTATTCATTGAGTTTTCGTGGCCAGTTTTTTTTGGAAGCGAGTAGCCGGATCCTTCTTCCTACTCGTTGTCTGGGAGCTCCACTGTCCAGCGTGAGTGACCCTGCCAGTATTTGAAATTCCAGTGGCATAGCTTTCAGCCTCACGGCAACACACAGCCACTATAGTGTGACAACCAACAGAGGGGTAGTGACCAGGAAACAAACCTGGGCTGCGGTGGTGAGAGTGCAGAACCTTAACCACCAGACCACCAGGGCTGGCTCTTTACAGAGGTAAGCAAGTTAAATGAGATCATTTGGATGGGCCCTACTCCAGTATGACTGGTGTCCCTATAAAAATGATAAATTTAGACACAGAGACACACACAGAGGGAAGATGTGTAGACACAGGGAGGAGACAGCCTTCTACAGGTCAAGGAGAAGTCTGGAACAGATCCTTCCATCATAGACCTCAGAAGGAACCAACTCTGCTGATGCCTTGATCTTGGACTTCTAGTCGCCTGAACTGTGAGACATTGAATTTCTCTTGTTTAAGCCATCCAGTGTGTGGTACTTGATGACAGCAGCTCTAACAAACTAACACAATTAGCTTCGGGAAAAGGGGTTATATTAACTTTCTTTCTTTTTTTTTTTTTTTTGGTGAGGAAGATTGGCCCTGAGCTAACATCTGTTGCTTGAGGAAGATGTTGCGGAGCTAACGTCTGTGCCAATCTTCCTCTAATTTATATGTGGGACACCTGCCACAGTGTGGCTTGACAGCAGTGTTAGGTCCATGCCCGGGATCCAAACCTACGAACCCCAGGCTGCCGAAGTGGAGTGTGCAAACTTAACCACTATGCCACCAGGCCAGCCCCATATTAACTTTTTTTTACGCCATATGTGTCTTTGTGACTAGCCCTAACTTAACTGTTATAATTCTAGAAACTACAAAAACAATAAATCGCTATTTTCATCCAGAAAATGTTCTTGTGTTAAATAATTTTTGAGAAAAAATAAGTAGATGGGAAGAGATCATATAACTTAAAAATCAGAGTAAAGGATTAAAGATTGGTAACTCTAGTCATAAATTTTGGCTTTGGCAACTATTTCTCCAACTGTATCCTCCTATTTCCTGTCCCAGCCAAACTCTGATCAGGCCATGTGAAGAAAAGACCAATTATTTTCCATCTTAGCCCTCAATACTTCAGGCCAAGAAAAGAAATAAAATATTAATCTTCCTTCTTAAATGGCAGTCTTTTAAAGATCTCTGCCCAAAGAAGAAGAAAATCAGTTGAGAACTGCTATTAACAATTGTCAATCTTTTTGACCGTCCAGAATTTGAACACCCTTCCAATTAGAGAGCCTCCCCAGGTTCTGAGGCAGAGCCTGCCTCTGACTACAGGAGTGCAGAATGCCTGATACTGGCTTCCAGAGCCTCCCTCCCAGGGGAGCGTGGACACCTAATCTAGGCCACGACCAGACACAGCCTAGACTGACCACGTCAGATGCTGTGGGCCCAAAGAAGCAGGGATTGTTCTAAAGCCATGCTAGAGAAGCCGATGGCAGCCACATCCAGTTTCTGGGGTAACAGGAGCAGCTGTGCTAGCAGCAGCCCCTGGGGCTATTGTCAGTAGTGATAAGCAACAGAGGACAGTGCTCACCAACTGTGACGAGTCACAGGTCTGTAACATTACTCTAGTCACTATGTGCAGATGAGTAGCCTGGTCACTGGTCTGCCAGACATTCCCCAGCTACCTAATTTGTGCTTAAATCATCCATAGTTTCTGTTGCTTCCAGCTAAGAACTCTGACATAAAGAACGTGTATTTTTAATTTACCTTTTAGTAAACATAGAATTATCTAATTACTTTTCTTTTTAGACAATAGTAAAATCACAAAATTTTACTCAGTAAATAAATGTATATTTAAATTCTTCATGGGGGGAGGGAGGAGGGCAAAAGGTGTGACAGGGCACACGTGTGTGGTGAGGGATGGTAATTAGCCTTTGGGTGGTGAACGTGATGTAATCTACACAGGAATCGAAATATAATGGTATACACCTGAAATTTATATAGTGTTATAAATCAATGTTACTGCAATAAAATAAATAAAAAGTAAATTCTTTATGAATAGTTAAAAAAGAGAGAAGAGACAGAGGTAAATAAGAACAGGAAGATAGAGAATGAAATGCAGAAGGAGGATAATCATTAAGAATTCCTCCAAATTTTCCTTTTTAATTATTTTAAGATTAAAAACCTTCTGTCTTGACTTCTGATCATTACTTAGCCCTTATTTTACATAATTTTAAAAACCTGTGACAAACTTATCTTTAAGATACCTAAATAGAAATATTGGCAAATGATACTAACAGATAATTAACAAAAAAGGAAAAGCAAATAGCCCTTGAACACATGAAAACATGGTCAACCTCTCTCACAATAAGAGCAAGCCCAGTGAGATACTGTCTTACACCTGTCAAATTAGCAAAACCCAAAACGTTTGACAATACATTGTGTTGGAATGAGTGTGGGGAAACAGGCTGTTTCCTATTGCCTGTGGATATATGAGTTGGGACAGACAGCTTTGGCGGGAACTTCAGAAGTATCCGTCAAGATCACACATGCATCTGCTCCTTGACCCAGCAATTCCATCTCTAGGAATTGGTCCTGTGGATGGATACATAGATCCACAAAATACAAAAAGTAAGAGTGTTAATTGCAACTACGATAGAGAGCTAATCAAGTCAATTCTGATACATCCGAACAACGGAATACCGTGAAGCTGTTAAAATAAACTAGGAAGCTCTCCAAATGCTGCTGTGGCAATCAGAGTCAAGACTTGCTGGTAAGTGGGGAAAACGCTTTATTACATAGTATGTTATCATTAGTGAGAAAAACAATAATTATAATTCTCTTTATATCTATGACTATATTTGTATGTATATGCTTGTGTATGAAGGGTAGAATATCTCCAGAAGGTCTCATTAAAAAAACTGCTAATACAAGTAGTGATTGCTTCTGAATAGAGAAAATGTGTCCAGGAAACAGGGTAGACAGGTAGACTAGATGGTATGCATGTCTTTTTGCACCTTTTGAATGTTATATTTCTGTGTTATCTATTTAAAAATCATAAAAAATACTAAAGCGTACACATTCACAATATGCATATAAAATACAGTAAATCATTTTTATCTAACCATAAAGAAATGTAAGTATAAAAAGATCTATCAAACCACAAAAATAAACCAAAACTTTATCAAGAATTGGATTCATGCAGAAAATATCCATAAACTTGTTTCTAGGTAAATAACCCAAGTCTGTTGTTTTTTGCTGATACAACGTGGCAGGTAAAGTTTCCTCCCTGCATCTTTCCCTCTGACGCTAGATTTCACCCTAGGCCCAGGAGGATTTGACAAAGCAGAAATGGACTTGTGCAAAGTTGAAGAACAAAGAGGAAGAAAGTTTGTATGTGTTCAGGGAGGAAAAAGAGAGGGATACAGCTTGGAGACGGAGAGGAAAGGTCTTGAATCCACGAATCATGGTTACCCACCTGTGGCAGTCTTGGCTCTCTCAGGACTTTGGAGAAATATAGTTCAAACACCCAAAGCAAAGCAAGGATAAAGAAGGCTCTCCAGGGAATGGCAACGTGGGGCTGTGCATGCAATGCCAGAGGCACACGCAGAGCTGACAGTTCAAGCTGAAAGGGACCTTAGATTATATATAATCCATGTAACTCTAATTTTTACATGTGAAAGAGTTGAAGTCTAGGCCAAAGGCTAGCCCAGAGTCACACAATGTTAATGCCACAGAATTAGGATAACAGTCAATGTCCCCTACCTCCAAGTCCATGCTTTTCTCCCATATACACATTCATTGCCTTCTCCCCATAAATGATCCTTTTACACAGTTGCTTCTTCCATTTTCTGTCCAAGAGAGGTAAGACATAGAGGAGTATTTTCCTCCTGTTCTGGCAGTCATGTAGTCAAGGCTGCTACAATTCTTCAT